CCCCCCGTTTCACTGTGTGTGTGTGTGTGTGAGAGAGAGAGAGAGAGATTATTTGTGTGCATGTCTTTGCCAAAAAAATGAACCCATCCTTCCACACAAGTTTCTTTTGACATCTGTGGTGCTCAGATTTCATGTTGAGTTACTGTGTGGGAGGAGATGTTAATCTGTTCATGTGTGTGTAAGAGTGACGTTCCACAGTGGTAAGACGGATGACCTTGAGAAAAGACTTTTCATTAATAATTGGCTATTTTATAGCAACCTTTGATTTTAAGTTTGGACCCCTTGAACATCTTCATGTGTTGTCTTCATGTCTGAGCAGTAGTGATAGTTGGGTGCTTTGTTTCCACAGGTTCATTTAAAATGTGTAGCTCTGATTGAACTATGCTGAATAATACAAATTAAGGGTAGAAGTGTTCATTGTTAGATACCCACTATCTTTAAACTGGCATCAGTTCACCCGAGGTCCTACGTTTTTTTGTTTTTGTTTTTTCCTTTTAGAAAATTCTGCAGCAGTGGTGTTCTGGGTAATTTGGACGGTCCATCACACTGCAGACCCACTGGACCCACTTTCCACCCCCCAAAAACTGAAATATTATTTTTCTGCTACCGCATAAATTTCTCCCATTTTAATTACATGCACTGCATTATTATACAAAAGACTTAATTGTACCTTGTTATATTTTGGATATTGTGATTAATTAGAAGCAAAATGCCCAAACCCAAGTTTTTGGGATAGTACTGTATATCAGTACTCAAAATAAGGAACTTTGTTCTATTTAGTTTTCATTCATGATGGTGCCCAATACAATACCAGTCAAAATTTTGGGCATACTGAGGGCATGCATATTTCTCATGAACTGAATTTAATAAAAATCTGATTAAATGTCTTAAAATTTAGTCTAAACAAGAAAAAAGATTATAATTTAGTTTTTCTCTCAGTGAGCTATTAATGATTTATCTTAAACAATTATGTTGTAGAAAAGTAAGGTATACCCAAGATACACATATTTGGTGGACAGCACAGTACTACAGCAAAACGAGCTCAACTTACTGTTGGTCAGTGAATAACTCTACAGTAATTATTCACAAATCACAGTAGAGATAAAATGTGGAAAATAACCAAAAATAAAGAAACAACCTAGTGTATGCAAACTATTGACTGTAGATATATACATGTGTGTAAATGTTTGGCTGGTCAGCAATCATAGACTGTATATTAAAGACGGATATAGCCACTGTGATATTGTAGACCCTGTTTATGAAGTGTCGACTTGAACATTTTGGCCCTTGTCATCTTGATTTCTTTGAAACCAGACATGACAAGTAGATCCAACCAAGGAACTGACAGGCACCTTAAATAATAGCCTTAAATAATGGACTGTTTCCCACTTAACTTTTACATATTCAGTTGGTTTTGCAGCCAGAGGAAACAGCCCCTGGTGGCCATTAGAAAGACTGCAGGTTTAAAACTAGAACCTAGTTAACCTCCTTCATCGTCCACACTGCTCCACATCGGTCTGCCACCCTTCACCCCCCCAACTCTCCTTCTCAGGCCTGAAACCCTTTCAATAACCTGTTCTCCACACTCTGCACAGTCGTACACTACCCCGCTCTGACTTGCAGCACCTCTGCTCAACATCCCATCAACGACCCGTTCAGTCCTGCAGTAATTATTCATCTTCTTCAGTGTGTATGTGTTTAGAAGGATTTTTATCTATCAATCACATCTAGCTAGCTTTGGCTCATGGTGTAGCAGCTTTCACATTAAAATGTGTGTAAACTTTGTTTTGCTACACAGCCAGGTGTGCTAATATTGAGCTGTGGGGTTCAAAATTACTCATACTCCCCTCATATGATTCAGTACATTGTGGAAAGAAATTCCCTATATGCTGAGTAACTCCATTTTTGGAAAACTTGTGGAATATCAGATGATAGTTTTGAAGTTTTTTTGTTTTTGTTTTTAGACAGAGCCACATGATTTTTGAAATGCCAGGAAATCAAAATGACCATCTTGGTATTTTAAAGCCTAAAGGCTTCTTCCATCTTTTAAATACAGTCCATTGTCAAAAGTAACAATCATGTCTACTTTCATAGTTTGATATTATTAGTCACATTAGGTGGGAAAAAAACAAACTAGTAGTATATAATTCCAGTAGCTCTGTCATATTTCAACAGACCACTATTACTAATCCCAAATACAACATGATGAATTAAAAATTTCCATGCACAGTATTTGCATCAGCTCAATAAACGTCCTCATAGATCATGTTGGGGTCAAGAAGACTAACTGAAAACTAAGCAGTGTAGTGAGCGTCCGCCTTGTTGGGTCCCTCTGCAGTGAGATGTATCAGAGGAGGCATCCTGCACATAGTGGGATTTATTGTCCATCAGTAACTACCCTCATTTATTTGTTCTGCTGTGTGAGCAAGTGGCGTTGGTGCCAGCCCTTGTTGCTGGAGGAGGAGGCATGGAGGGCTCTGGGGGGGAACTGAGATGTTTAAAGTCCAGGAAAACAGAGGTGAATCCAGTTCTTAATACCCTAGTCAAACCTCTAGTCTTCTCTTTTTTTCTTTTCTTTTTTTTTTTTGTTGTCTTCTTTTTTTTTCTTTCCTATTTCCTAGTAGTTTTTTGTGGGCTGAGTCCTCTGTTGATGGATTTTTTTTTCCTTCAAATCATATTGGCTCTTGTAACCACTTAGCTGGATTTTTGATTTGAATCTGTACGAGGCTCCTGTGGACAGTGCCCTCTCAGAGTGTCGTCGAGTGTTTGTGCTCTTCTGTCCGATAATAATCCAAACCATTTCTCTCCCATGCTCTCTCCCCCTGCAAGGAGCGGAAGGTACACAACCTCTGCTGTGTTTGCTTATTAGCAGTTACATCTTATTCGGTTCCTTTTGTTTTCTCTACCTCTTTTCTTTCCTGTTGTAGCTGTATGGCAACTCTAATTTTGTGTCCTTGTCTACATTTTATATGGAACTTCCATGTATGCATCATATGGGCCATATTGCATCTTTGAGCATAAAGAAAAGATTTTTTTTTAAAAGTATCTATGCTGTTTACACCAAACATGACAAAACTGTCCCAGTTCTGATTCATTTCATTGATGAGCCACGTTGAATCAGCGTTGAGCTTCTCCTCATTGCCCATGTATGCGTTTGATCATGGAAAATTTCTCATAGTGTGCTTTTTCTTTTCCTTTCTTAGCCGTTCAAAGCTTGCATTCCATGTGTAGCCTTTTATTTTGACCTTTCACACTGAATAAAACAAGTTTAAACATGGCTAATTCTTTAAATATGACGTGTTCACCATCCAGTGTTGTTGAGTTAATAATGTTCTGTCTTGTTTTGTTTTGTTTTTTTTGTTTGTTTTTAGGTTTTCATAGAGCTGAGTCACATTAAAAAGTGCAATACAGTGAAGGGAGTCTTTGTCCTGGAGGAATTTGGTAATTACACCATCTATTGATTCTAGGCCTGTACTCGGCACGGCAGTAACTCAGCTTCACGGCAAATGTATTGATGAAAGCTAATAAGGGTTCACTAAATTGGATAGCCGCTCTCCTCTGGAGCATTGAGACACTGACGTCTGCAGGCGATTAAGTGCGTCATGCATTATTTCGAGGGTGTGGTTTGCGCTTAGTCATATGCAAGTGTTGAGGTTTAGAGCAAGGTAATAAAAAGCCAAAGTTTGTGAGAAATGGTGTGCGCAGTGTAGAGAAGGAAGGCTGAAACGTGTATCATAAATAGCTATGCCAGTTTGTGTAGATGTGTGACTTAAAGGGGACCTGTTCTGCTAGTTTCCAATTCAATTTTTATGTTGGAGTAATTAGTAATCCTCATTGATCTTATACTAGATTATGGTGCAAGCAGTTTAGTCTCATTTTTGCACACTTCCTATTTAACTTTAAGCCAGCTTTCTGTGATTCGCTGCTACCCACAAAAAGCAGCTTTGAACAGCGTGGCAGTAGAGTGGCTCTGCTCACAGTATAAAGATATTTGCTCTCAAACTAGTCTGAATGCTCTGATTTTGGTTCTATATATTTAAAATATTGCACATTTTTCAAATGAGAATCCACCACTGTAGTATTAACATATAGACACACACAAACTCAGCAGAAAATAAGGACAGGGTCCCCTTTAAACGTGCCATACAAATATTAGAAATAAAAGCATCATATTAACTGATTTTCCAGAAACGACATAATCAAAGCTTATAATGCTTGGAAATATGTAAGCATTAAGGGCATTTTGCTCATATTATGGTTTTCATTTGTTGACAAAAGCCATAAATAGATCTAAATCTCTCAAGTAACACGAGTCCCCTCGTAGCTAAATGGCAGCCTGTCCTCCATGACAGCAGTGATGTGTTCTAGCCCTGAGTTAGATAAGTTGTTACTAGAATTTGAGCTGCCACCTTTTCAATAAGACTGTAACCTTTTTTAGATCTTAAACCATTTATTTTTTTTGGCCTGGTTTAAACTGTTCCATGTTGAGTCAGCCTGAGGGAAGAGAGCAGGAGAGTCTGAATGTCTTTAAAAGCGGTCGATACTGCATCGTGCCTGATACATGAAGAGGAAGACATTTAGTCTCATTAGTAGGATGGTGTAGTGGCTAACACATTTGCCTACGGAGGAGACACAGACCCAGCCTCAGGGGGTCACAAGCTAGTGTACTCGTAGTGCCAGATGAATGGGAGGGTTGCGTCACGAAGGGCATCTGGTCTAAAATCTGTGCCAAATCAGTCACACTGATCCATCCGCTGTGCGACCCCCTACTTCAGGGAGCAGCTGAAAGTACAGCTCAAGTATGAGGATTCTGTCCGACCTGAGATGCGTCACACAGTTAGTGGGTTCCTGTTACGTTTCATGGAAAATGCAAATGTCTGACTGAATGGTGAGCAGTAGCTGTAACTATTAAACTTGCTCAGACGTCGAGCGCCTGGCTGGGTTACTGTTGTGTCTCTGTGCTGCTTTTGTAATGTTGCCCTCATCTTTGCCACTATGAAAACCTTCATTCTCCAGCAGGTAAAGTGTCGTCACCTTTCTCCTTTCTTATTGAAACTAAACCTGTGCAGAATATTTCCTCACTCCGTCCTTTTCATAGATTTTTTTTTTCTTCCCCCCTTCCTCTCTTTCCCCTTTTCTGTACCGCTAATTTTTCCTCTGCTTCTTCCATCACTTGCTTCTGATTCATTTCGGAGATCACCCCAGACTCCATCACTCACGTGGTCATCACTCTCTGACCATCTGTATCTCAGCAAGCGGAGATCTTAGGTGGGACAGTTAGTTTGTGGGGGTTGAGGATTTCTCAGCCCTTTCACCTGTCCAGATCTCAGCCTTTCCATCTCTGCTATGGGTTCAGTTACTAATGAAAAGTCAGCCTGACCCGTGGACAGCGACGTGGTCCCGGGTCGAAGGATTTTGGCCTCTTATATCGACTCTTCTGTGATGTTTAACTTTGAGTTCACTGGCTGGAAGGGCTTGGGGAGGTCGTCCTTTTTATTGTTTGTTTTTTCATACATTAACTTTGCGGCCTTCTTGGTCGCAAACTCTCTTGTTATGACATTTGTGCTCGTATTTGTTCATCATGTGGGCCATGAACGTCTCACCAACCAATCAAAGCTGAAATTTAACATTTTGCTTTCTCATTTGAAGACAAAGAGAACATTTGATCAGTTCATTAGTCACAATAAGGAAACACAACATGAGCAGGATTTCACAATTGAATTTTATCTAAGTTAAAAGTAGACAGCCCCTTCTGCCCCTCAATCTGATCTTTAATTGGCCTTTATGGTGAACTTTTCTTGGCCCACATCTCATTTTACACCTTGTTGAAAGTCCAACCCTATAACCACACCCCCGCCCCCTCCCAAAAGCTCTCAAATATGAACTCATTGAGGTTTCTGCTGCCTTTGAATTCTCTGTTTTGTCTCTTGCACCGGCGTAGTTCCTGAAACTAAAGAAGTGGTGATCCACAAGTACAAGACCCCGATGGTGAGTCCTCTCTTCCTTTGTCTGAAATCATGAATACATACAGCTATGTGACTGCTGAATGCCAGTGACAAGATGGACACAGCAGAAATGTTCCTTAAATAAAAGCGCTTAACTTAAGGTGCTTTCAGACCAGAGTTCATTTCATAGTTCTTTGAACTCTTGGAGTCAAAGAACTGACTTTTTTCTGTGCGTCTGCACCACATGAAGCAGGAACTCTCAAAGTTTATAGAAGATTTTTTTGTGGACTGGAGAATATCAGCGTGCGCTCTGGTGGTGCAAATGCAAACAGGAAAAAGCCCCGAAGGTAAACGTAGTTCTCGGGGCGAGCTCCCCAGTGGGCACTGGGCGTCTGTAGAGCTCTGGTCTGAAAATGCCTTTGGTTTTCATTTCATTTCGACAGTATGCTGACACAAGTGAAAGACCTGCCTCGGTGTCTCTGTGTTGATTGGATTTTTTCTTAATTTTATAGTATTAGACAGGTTCTTTTAACACAAGAAAATTGCGTTTTAACCACTGTTCAAGAGGTAAACAGCAGAGTGACATCACCTGAGGTTATATAACGTTTAAAGATGCCCGCTTCCATGTATCTGTGGCTCAACGCTGCTTCTTGTCAAACACTGCAGTGCTGTAGCTTCTTTTTTGCTCAGAAAATGAGGACATTTTAGCAGTTGTAAAACCCCACGATGACATTTCTCAATAATGTGTCAAAAAGTGACACATTTCCCAACTCAAGTAATGATGAGCCTTCAGGTTAAAGGTCAAATAGTGCTTCTTATTAAAGAAGTGCAGCGACATTTAAAGATTTGCGATTTTGTACTTCTCTTTTTTAAACTGCTCATTAAGTTGCTACGCTGATTAGTGGTTTCCAGCCAGCGGCAGGAACGTGTGTCATGATGCCAGCTCCCGTAGCGCAAATAAAACTGAAGCATTTGTAAAAAGCGCATCATACCATCATTAGTGGCAAATGATTGACAGAGTGCCTTGAAATACCCCACAGTATATAGACTGAGAGGAGCCTCTTATCCAGCTTTGTTCATTGTATTATTAATAACTGCACGCAGGTGGTTCCCTCTCACTTCCTCATGTTTGTTCCTCCTCTGCAGGCACATCAGATCTGTTACTCGGTCCTCTGCCTTTTCTCGTACGTGGCGGCAGTCAAGGGGAAGGAGGCGGAAGGAAAACCCAAGATGCTGTCACCGAGACCCCTTCCTAGCTAGTCTACACCCCACACTCTCCTCCCCTTCGCTCTCTCCCTCATCCCTGGCGTGCCTCTCTCTACTTGAAAATGGCATCTCGGCTCCTAAAACTAGACTCGACAATCCCCAACTTCACTCTAAGCACACAACTCCCGCGCTCCCCTCCTGTGTATATACAAACCCGAGACCCTTTTTAGATCCAATTGTGTAGACATGTTTGGTCTGTGATGTCATGTAAATACTTCCAGCTCTTCACCGCTGTTGCCCAGATGTTCTTCCCAAACTAGCTAAATGTTTGCCCGCTTCATTACTCTGGAAAAGTTGCTCCCCCCAGAGCTCCTCTGCTCCCGGTGAAAGTTTTGCTCCTTGTTCCTGCTAGCAGGACCCAACAGTTTTTACTCGTATGTGATGTGAGGGCTCCACTACCCCATCACCCCCCAACCCCGAGGCACTGAGTGCTTGCAGGTCGCGCGCACAGCCTCGACGTACAGCGTAGCTTCCTGCCCTCTCCTGCCCGTCTCCATATGACTGTATGACGTATTCTGTGATATGTGGTTACTGTAAAGGTCCAGTCTGTCCCAGTTGGTCCAACAACCAGAGACTGTCGTGTAGTGCGGGATGTTCCATGCTGAAAATGCTACTGTATACTGCACCAGAGCACCGCATGTAAACGCTTCGTTATGGTGTTTGAACCCTAAAATACTGTGAGTGTTCTCAGATGTGTACTCTAGCCCGGCCCACCCGGCTCAATTACTGTTCTAGTTCTACTGTAAAATTTCTCGTCTGTGGTCTGCTGTTATCAATTGCATGTTACTATAAGGATGACAAATAAATATTATATATATATTTCTATATATAGTATTTATTTAATATATACATATATTGACTGTACATTTCTGGAAAACAAAATGTTACAAATGTTAATTTGCTAGATGTGCAATACTTAAAAAGTAGTTAGCCATTGCCAGAGCCAGGTTTTCTCGAGTGAACTGGCTTTCACAGGGTGACGAATGTAAGAACGAGTTTGTTTTTCTATAGTACACATCGATCGATTGAATATTACGACTTCAGTGTGACACGAGCATTTAGTTTTAAAAGGTGATCACAGGTCAGTCGGTGCAAAGGACTGCTGCTGTGTCGCTCTCTGTGGGTGCTAACAAACCCCACCCCAATCAGCGATGTCACAGCAGGCGGCGGGGATGCCGGGGTAAATGTCACCGTCTTCTTACAGCTTTTAATTGTAGGCAAAGGCTGCATGGATAATGAGCTACTAAAGGCAGTGCAAAATGTCTTTGATGGTACACATGTGAGCTGTGTGTGTGCCCACTTTAAACAACAGATGTTTCAAAACTTCTGCAATTTTTTTTTTTCCTTCACTTGACCATAAATACAAGTATGTAAGTCATTAAAACATTCAGTGGTGGGTGATAATCTAGAGACATAATTGTAGATATTTCCCTATCTGTGGTACAAACACTGGAGTTACACGCTGGTACTTAATGAAACCCCAATAAAAAGTAGTGTGGAAAAGAAGGCATTTTTAGTAACAGTGTAACATCCATGCTGGAATTATTCCTGCGCAACTGAAAACACAAATATTCACTAGAGAAGCCGAAACCAGTGTAGGAGCTGCATAATCGACTGATGGGGTGTGGAGAAATGAGAAATAAGCCACCAAACCCACAGCAGCAGTTCTTCCTCCTGTGACTGACCCTTCAGACGCGCTGAAGATGCCATCTGTGGTCACCTGATGTCCAAGGAGACGATTGAGTCTTTGTCGTGTCTGGTCCCATCGCTGGCTCGTTTACTTTCACAGTGAGAGTGCGTGGTTTTGTTTTTTTTTTGTGGTTCGCGTGTGTGAATGTGGTGAACACTTTTCTCTAGATCAGCAATATATCAGTACAGCTGTAAGGCTGGAAGATGTTATTTTGATCCTGACATGCTTGTATTTTTAAGGAATTTAACTGTGCAAAAGGAAATCTGAATGTGGAGAAGATGCTGTTAATAAATGACAGAACTTGATCTGAAGCATCTGCAAAACTGATCTGAGAATTTTCTGCTTGAGTTAACTTTTTTTTTTTTTAAACTGGATTATTACAACTCATCTCTGTTGCTGTGAAATCTGATAGCTGTAAAGAGAAGGAAAAATGACATGAGATGGATGGTGTAAGTATTCCAGTATTCAAAAAGTATTTATAAAATATGTACAGCTTTGGCAATATAATAAAGATGTCCCAAACGAAACTCTGTGTGCTCGTCATCCTGCAAACAAGGGAAGTGGCAACAGGTGGTGCTAGTTGCTGAAACAGAGCTCTAGACTAACTTTTTGCCATGGGCGTACCGGTATGCCTAACTTTAAAAAGTTAGGCGTACCGGCACAAAAGTTAGGCGCACACAAATTTTATAATAATTTATATAATATAATGTGTTTTTCTGGATACACTGTGCTTTTTCAACATTCAAAAATTGATGACACAGTGTCAGAGCACTGGCTATGAATTTCAGAAGGATCAGGCCTTAACAGAAAAGTTAGCAATAGTTCTTTTCCTATTACAGCTACATCCACTTCTGTCGTGCCTAGGCTGCTCACTAGGGCTGGGTATCATCACTGATTTCTATAATCCATCGATTCCGGTTTTCAAAGTCCCGATTCGATTCAACTTAGCCTCAGACAGTCAGAAATATTATAATTCTGATCATTTATCAGTACTGACTTCTTCAGAATTGTGAACATCACAGCAGATGCCTTTGTGTGAAAGTAACTGAGAATAAAACATAGAAAAACATGAAGGAGATTTTCCTGGTCTGGCTTTTTA